AAATATCAATAATACCCTTCTATTTTATCACAAATCTACTTTTTTAATACTTTTTTAATTATAAAAGGAGATTCAAAAGTTTATAGTATGTGCATTTTTGAAAATTTTGCATTTTTTTACTAAGGAGTATTTGTGAAGGCGTTATTATGTCTAAGCTTTTATTAGTGACACGAGTTTTTATTGAGAGAGATGTTAGACAATAATTAATACCAGAGTAGTAATTAGTTACTCAGAGTAGTAATTAGTTACTCCGTATTGCACAAGTAGAGGAAGGAGCGTGTGGAGTGCCACAAATCAAATAAATTTGAAGCACGTAGGTACATTAAATTGCATACAAGTGTATATGTCAGAAATCAGAATCTTCCAAGGGCTTCCAAGCAAGTCTTGAATTGGAAGAAGACAGCAATATAATTAGCTGCAAGTCAATATAACTAAGTAATCCTCCATAACTTTGATGATATGTACATGCATGTGAATTGATCCCAACACCTAATCCTTTCCCACGTCCAACCGTATCCTAACCACACCTAACTCAATATGGATCCTAAAATCATCTCTTCATGCTCTATAATTTTCTAAAAGGATGAATTTCAGGCTCCCCAAACTAGTTCAAACGATCACTGAGAGAAAATAAATTGAATTTTAATCTCAAATTATTGGTAAAGATTAGAATCTGCATGTGATAATTGCAGAGTTCATATGCTTAACATAGCTGCCCCAGTGTATTTCTCAGGAATCAAAAATCTACACCTCAATAATTCTTATCTTTGCTAACTGTGCAACGCCCTCAGGACTCCGTAATTTTCGAGTTCCTACCTATGAGGGATCCAAGAATACAACAAACTGGAGACACTAGTAAAGCTGGGGTTTGAGGGTCAAGATCCTGAAATGTTTTTTTAATGCAGTTTTAAATTACGATAAAAAAATAAATTTTATATCAAACAAGTTTAAAGTAGGTAAAATAAAATATTTCAAAAGTAGAAAAACAAAACAAATCATTTCAAAAGTAAAAAGGATATAATACTGAAGGAATTCTCCAATATGTCATACTTAATATAACTATAATATTACAAATACTTGTATTTTCTATTTAAATAATTTTTCTTTTCTTATGAAATTAATTTTTGTTTTGACCATGGCTCAAATCTTTTTACCTACGCCACAAATTATTTTTTAGTGGGGGCACAATTTTAATTTACTGAGAGACTAAATGATATGCACAATATAAAAAAGTATTAAAAAAGATTGAAAAATACGGAGTATAAGAAATGTGGTTGAACTTTATCTGAAACCGAGAGAATAAATGATGTGCACATTTTTATTTTTTAAAAACTATAGTACCGAAATGTAAAGTGGTTCAATTTTACACATCCCAAAAAATTTTTTGTCATCGCTCCAATCACCAACACTCTCTACCAGAAAAAAATCAGGACATGCACTCTCAAATTTGTTCGTCACACAACAAATAACTATCTCTCTACTTCTAGCAGACTCATTCATGAAAGCACTATCTTTTCCTCGGTTTCAGACTCTTATTTTCAAGCTTTCGCTCGTAATACGAGTTCAGCTTGAGAGGGATGTTAGACGACAACAACAACAACGTACAACAACAACAACAATAATAATAGTAATAATAATAATAATAATATTAATATTACTCTATATTGTTTATGGTAGTCTTTGTATTTTAGTCAGCTTCTATTATTGAATCCTATTCATAATTAGGGTTATAATAATCTCTATATATACTCCGCTATGTATTCCATTATTCTTTGAGTAAATAGAATTATTCTATTATTCAATACAAATAATATTTCCTTCTAAACAAATTCTAACAATATAATTATCACGAGTATTCGATTAAATTTATTTTTTGTATTATTTACTCCAACTTTAGTGCAGTGACCATTTCCATCCTAAATTTTATGAACACTCATGTTGGTAGGCGTTGCGCATGCAAAGACAAGGAGTATCAATGAGATAGATTCGAATTTGATTTCTAACAACTGTGTTAAGGTACAATTATATTAAACATAAACCCTCGATAGATTTCATTTTTTATTACTCCATATCAATTTACAATTAAAGCATGGGATTCATCTTTTTTTATTGAGCATCCACAAAAGAATGGCCCATTAAACAGCACAAGTTGAGAAGTGACAGGCGAAGCGTCTTTCTTAGAAAACCCCCCCATTTCTGATTGAAAATAAAATTAAAAACGAAACGGAAATACGGAATACCCCCATGCCCCTCATTCACAATCCGCCGCCGACCAGCCCAATCCTTTCCATAATTGGTTGAACGTACTGTTCGATTTTCTTCTCCGACAACAATTTCCACTCTTCCTTACTCCCCGCAATAATTTACGGAGTACCAGTATTTCTTTTGTCTGTTACGGACGCTTTTATATTCCCTTTTTTAAAAAAAAAAAAATTGTTTTATTTGACATTTTAGTCCCGAAAATTCTTTTACCCCTCATCCCCTAAATAATTTAACTTTTTATTATTGTACTCTCTCAATAATTTTTCCTTATTTGCATGTTTTAAATTAATAATTTGGTAAATAAAATATCCTTGTCACATCTCGTTTTATAGAAATTTTTTATGTAATTTTTTTAAAATATACCAATAACTTTTATTTTTTTCTATACCTATTTTGTAAATAAAGTTATTTTAAACTTGCAAAATTTTGCACATCATTCGAGTAGAGAATATCATTTTGAGACAGAGAAGTATATTTAAGGGGATGTATTCAATCTAGTACTACGTATTCTCTAGTACTCCGTATTATTCAAAGTTTAAAAATCAAAGGGTATTCAAATGAGAGTTTGATCTTTTATAAAATCTTTATTTCCTAAATAATACTTGAACAATGTTCAGCGGCGAAAATAACGTCCAGTGGCAGCGAACATTTACTTTGAACCATGTCTAGCGGCAGACTGGCGATGGATATTAATTTGAACAATGTCAGTAAACATTGAACTGTGATATATACGTCATTCAAAAATTAAAACATATACTAATATATTGAGAAACTAACTATGCTTTAATTTAGTATTACATAAGTAAATTCTTCTTATTCTAATTACTTGACATTTTTGAATTTAATATAAATGTGTATTTTAATATTCAAATTATTATAAAAGTGGTTATTAAAAATCTAATTCAATACTAAATATAAAGTACAGGTACTCTGCAAAAAGAATAAGGCCCAACACGTTAATTTTACACAAGGTCAATCTAAATTTTTCAAATTTCTGGTCCAGCCCCTGGCAATGACAGAGGCTTTTTCCAACGTAACGAGGCTTATACAACGTGGAATCGGAGCTTGACATTGAAGGACGCGATGAAGCCGGTTCTGATCCCCTGTTGCGACCTCTCGAGCACGACGGTATTCATTTCATCTTCTCATAAGTTTTCTTATTTTTTATTGCTAGCCTATTTTAAATAATCCAACATTTTTTTAAAATGTGCTGATAAAATTAAATACGTTAAAATCTATCAAATTCTGCATAAAATTAAAATAATCCATGAATTATATATGATCTGGAGATTCAAAAAATCTATCAAAATCTTTTAAAATCCGAATAGAATATATCAACCTTAATTTTTTCGCTCACTAATGTGACATTTTGACTATTAGTAACAATATTTGTGCATAAAAATGATATAAGTTTTGATAAATCAACGTTGTATTTAAAAAAATCAAAATATTATAATTTTACATCATAAGTAGGCAATATTTTCTATAAATTATGGTCATAATTAGAAATATTTGATAAAAAGAATGTCACGTGTAAAAAAAATTTATGGTCAAAATATTCATTCAGCTTATTTTTTTAGCTTATTGCTTATTTTTATTAGAATCAGATTATATCAAATCAGGAATAATTTTAAATATATAACTACAATTAAATCGAATCAAATCAGATCAAATCTTTAAAAAATTAAATCAAATTAGACGAATCGAACATAGCCTAACACATAAGTTATTTTTGTAAACTTTTATTATGATACAACATTGTTTCACATTAAATCTTACAACTTTTATTTATGTGTGTTTTTTATTTAATAAATTATTTAGGGAATACAGAGTAGTATTTTGATATTATGAGATTTTACGATGGTGATTTAAGTCATTCAAAACTTTTTTTTCCATAAAACTTTTAGACTAAAAGATATGATATGTATGCAATAAATATTTTGTTTTAGAGTGTCAAAATTAAAACATGGAGTGTAAATATCATTGAATAATGCTAAGAGTATACCAAAAGTGTACCTCATTTGTACATCATCGGACTCCTTACCACACATTTCTTATTCACTTCTCTCTCTTCATATTCATATCAAGGAGTGTATGGAGGAGAGCCTATTTGGGTACAAATGAGGTACACCATACACTTTTGGTGTACCACTAACATTTTTGAGTATCATTTCCCTTTTAACTTATTTAATATACATTTTTTAGGTGTGTGCATCATCAATTCACGACAGTTGGTCGTGTCTTAGTTTTACAGGCTAGAGATGTCACTGTGTCGTCTCATATTTTACTACGTAGTTTTTACTCTTCCTTTATGGCTTGTTTGGAAATTTGAATTTAGATTTTAAATCTAGATTTGACAATTTTGGCTCAAATTACAAGTTTGATAATCTTAAAAAAACGGGACTTGGATTTGAGACAAATTCTACTAATTCTTAAAAAAGTCTAATTTCAAATCTCTCTCTCTTTATTTATTTTTTATTTACATTATCCACTTTATTACATTACATCAAGGATAAATATTAAAAATCTTTTACTTTTTAACTTTTTCTTAATTTAGAAATTGATTTAAAACTGGAGAGAAATTTTATAACAAAAAGATCATGTTAAAGTGTAAAGTAGGTGTGAACCGACATATTGGTGGAGGGAGCATATCAAAACGAGCAGGAAATTTCGGACCAATTTTTTTAATATTGTCTTCTGAAGGTTTATTATATACCGAGTAGAACCGGACTCGCTTGCCTCATCTCTGAGTTGTCTCTGCCATCGTCGCACTTCAATTTCCGGGAAAGATCCTTCCCATCCCTCTCCCATATCCCCTCTGCCTATTTATATTCTCCAATTCCCCATCATCCAATTCATTCACATCACAATCTACGGAGAAGGGTATATTTTAATTGGATCCCGGAGGAAACTAATGGCGTGCGGCGGCGGCAGCGGGAGAGGAAAGGAAGAGTTCGAGGATATGCTGCCGGAGATGGCGGAGAAGCTGGGCGGGGAAGGGCTGATGAGAGAGCTGTGCAACGGGTTCAGTCTGCTGATGGACGGAGAGAGAGGCGTGATCACATTCGAGAGCCTGAAGAGGAACTCGGCGGCGTTGGGGCTCCAAGATCTGGGGGACGACGACCTCCGGAGCATGCTCCGGGAAGGGGATTTGGACGGCGACGGGGCTCTCGATCAGATGGAGTTCTGTGTTCTCATGTTCCGGCTCAGTCCCGACCTCATGCGCGAATCCGAAGCTCTCCTTCANGCTGGGCGGGGAAGGGCTGATGAGAGAGCTGTGCAACGGGTTCAGTCTGCTGATGGACGGAGAGAGAGGCGTGATCACATTCGAGAGCCTGAAGAGGAACTCGGCGGCGTTGGGGCTCCAAGATCTGGGGGACGACGACCTCCGGAGCATGCTCCGGGAAGGGGATTTGGACGGCGACGGGGCTCTCGATCAGATGGAGTTCTGTGTTCTCATGTTCCGGCTCAGTCCCGACCTCATGCGCGAATCCGAAGCTCTCCTTCACCAGGCTCTCGAACATGAACTCTTTGCCTATTCTTCTTCTTCTTCCTCCTTTTCTTCTTCAAATTCATTGTTTGGTTGATCGATTGATTTCTGATCATCTTGAAATCTTGATCGAATTGGAACGCTTTGATGAGCACAGTGAAAGATATAAAAAGTCGTTTCCTTTAATTGCATTGACCCTAATCCAGTGCCCCAATTATGAAAGTACAAAAAATTTAAGGTAGTGAAAGACAAACTCTTGAAAAATATATTCTAGTCATATAGCTTGGTTGAAATGGAGATTAATCTTCTATTTATAATCTAATATTGCTACATAAAGAGTATGTAATTTGTGTTCTAGGTTATCTACAAGATTGGCCTAACCGTGCGTCAATTGTGAATTTGTGAGTGAACAATTAATTGTCAACTACCACGACTAGTGGGATTATGCTATATTTCTATTATATTCTTGATTCGGGTCTACGTGCTGGACCCCCAAAGAGCATCTTCCTTTGCCCAGTTGGCATTCTGACTGGTCCTTGATGTAAATTCGGCCCTTTAGTTGTCTTGGATTTCGAATAACACACTTTTTAGGTTGGATTTTCTTTTGGGTTCCATAACTTTGGAGTATTGGTGGTTTTGGAACCGAGATTTATGAAAATGAGACAAGGGCACACTTAACACAATTTATCTCACTCTTGAATTTATATTTACTCGCATTATTTACAAAATACCTTTTCCGTCTCAAAATATTTTACAATACAAAACAAAGTGAAGTTTCAATTTTTAATGTAATATTTGCACTAAATAGCACTAAAACTTAAGTCATTTTTCTAAATAGCACTTCAATTGTTTTATTCCCTAAATAGCACTTAATAATGTCTATAATGACTTGTGATGACAAATATTTACTAGAATAATGACTAATGGATAATGACTAAAAGTGCTACATTAGAAAAAAATAAATGTAATGCTATTTAGGGAAAGTAATTATGTTTTAGTGCTATTTACGTAAATTCCTCTTTTTTAATTCATTTTGTTTAAAGATTTATATATATAAAAAATTCACATATTTGAAATCACGTCAAAAGTTCTATAAACAAGCTGCGACAAGATTATTTTATTATATTAAATAATCAATCAAATCATACAAATAAATAAAAATTTGTGTAACTCTTGAATAGTGAATAATGTAAGGCCCCATTTGGTACACAAAATTCAAACTATGAAATTGGAATTGAAGACTTCAATTTTAATTCTGGTATTTGGTAGCACAAAAATTATGTGGATTTGGAATTGATAGTGCAAAAAATGAATTAGAATTGGTGAATTCAATTCTATGGAATTGAATCCCATGGAATTTAAATTCCAATTCAATTCCAATTCCATTAATTCCGTATACCAAACGGACCATGATTCTTTTTTAGACAGATGAAAGACATATGTATAAGTTTTGTTTATCGCTCTGCTAATCAGGTTGCACATCTGTTAGCGCGGGCCTCTCATTAACCCCAGAGCAGGAGAGAGTGGGGTTGTTCGACGTGGACTATCTTCCTGCGTCTATCTAAATTTAATTCATTGGATTTCAACGCCGTACTGCAACCTACCAATGTCACATTGTGATCACTACCGCAGCCACACTACCACACTCAAACATTGAATTTAGGTCTTATAGTGTGAACCCCTCAAATACCAAACCCCATCTCGAATGGAGATCCAAAGTAAAAACCCATTACAAATCTCATATGGGAGCTTTGTTGGGGTGTATATAATTTCCTTCGAAATCAATGATTTAGATCTCAACAATAATTTGAGATCCCATCTCCAAATTTAGATCTTAAAACAACAATTTCAGTCTCGTTTGGCATTAGCGTTAGAGGTTAGCATTAGCATTTTGAAAATATATCCGACGGTAGTTTATAGCGTTAGCATTTTCAGATTTAATGCACACCATTAGAATTTTATCCAAAATGTTAATCGTTATACGACGAAGAACCTGCAGGGAGGGGTCCGCGAAGCTGGGATCGGGTCTCCATTTCTTTTTATGATTTACAAAGTAATATAGTACTAAAATCTACTCCGTAATTTCTAAAATTGGGTTGAAAATTTTAAACTCAATCAAAAGACTGTTGGGAAGTTTATCGTTTTCCAAAATTCAACCAAAAGATTGTTTTAAAGACTTAATGGGCGTGGATGCAGTCAATTGTTTGAAAATTAGGGAATCTTGTACCTCACATTGCAACAAATCTTGATGATTCTATGACTAATCATGTCCAGTGCATATCATATTCCCCCATCACATATTTTAGATCTTTTTTTGTTTTTTATTCTTATTATTAATTGGTCGAATTGTAATTTCATTTGTCTGTCGAGAAAAAACTCGTCCACAAGGGCGTTCGAATAACAATCTTGTAATAATTTGGAGTTTTATGCAGCTTAAAAGGGTAAGAATCATCGATTGGGTGCAGATAGACCATAAAAACGCTTAACAAATACTCCATGCGTCCTAATTTATTTATCCTATTTTGATTTTTTTGTTAATATTGACCTTAAATATTAAAAAAATATCTAATTACGGAGTATTATATAAATATAATATACCGAGTAACTTAGTTCATTTAAGATATAATTTTAGTATATCAATTTTTTATAATTTTTCTATATTAAAATATTATTTAACTTGAAATAGATCATTTGGCGATATAATTATAAAATTGATGACTCTTACACTTCTTAACTCACCCTCTCCGTGCATCCTACATTAACCCCTTCCCCCTTCTTGAATTGCCGATTTTGGCAGCCCTAATCGTCAATTTAAAAAAAGAGTCAGGGGGAGGCCAGAGCAAATTTTGAAAATTCAGGATAGTAACCATTAATTTTATCAACCGAGCATCATAAATGTATCGGGTCATAAAATGATCTATGTTTCAAAATCAAAAGATCCTTGCCATAGTTAATTTTTTTTGAATGCTATTGACTCTATTACAAGGTAGTATCTGTTCATACTATTCTCAAGCTAATGACGCACAAAGAGCCAATGCTGCTGCTTTCGCTGGGGCTCGAACCTGGGTGAACTTCCCCATGAATCCTGGGGAGTGGGCTTGCCATAGTTAATTTTATAATTATAAAAAATATTTAATTTATGATCAAATTAACATAAAAGTTAAATTAGGACAAGTGAACTTATTTGGAGCTGGAAATAGTAAAGGAAAGACAAAAAAAGATACGGTAGAAAATATACTCCACATTTGACTTTCTTTCCTCTCTCGAAAACAAAAACGTTCTTAATTCGATGTTCAATTAAAGTAAGCATAACAAATGAGGGGCTAATAATCGATCTCCATCTCAGAAACCAAAACAGAAAATTGGGCGCCGCTCAATTGGAATCAGCTTTCTCCTCCATAAATTTCCCCACCAACTATCTGCCTGCGGCCCTCTTTCTCTTAGGGCTCCCCATTCGAAAACGCCAAAACAGAACCGATTCTCATAATTTTCCGCTTTCACGCAAGCTTGCTCAATCGAGGATTAGAAGAGAAGGTAAATCTGGCTGCGAAGAGGTAAGAGATCTTCTGTTTATTGTGTTGTTTTCCGGCATGGATTCATATTGTATTTTAGGTACAATCGTTGATTTAGCGTCTTGTTGATGAAGCATTATGATTCCTGATTGTATTTACACGAATCTGTATTTCGCTGAACGGAGATTAGGAATTTATACATGCATTAGGCATCAATTCGCAGCTGAATGTGTATTTGATCTGTTTCGCTCATCACAATTTAGTTTCCAGTTTGATGTATTGCTGTGCTGCTAAATATGTAATGGATATGATCCATATGATAGTATCCGATCGGTGCGTTTTGATAGAAATGTGAAAGAGTTGAAATTGATCCCTGTTTTGTTAGGCATGGCCTTCTGAATGCCTTATTCATGTATTCAACCAACTTTTGTTTTTTTTTTCTTTAACATATTAATGCAAAAGTCTTGTTGAACGGCTGAATTTGGGCAATTTTGAAGTGTCTCCCTTCTTTTGTTTCCTGTCATATATCTGACAGGTCCATTCCTTTCCATGTTGTATCAGGTGTGAGTTTTTAATGCTTAGTAAGGGTTGTACCATCAGAGCTAACAAGGATCTTCGTCCAGTCTGGCCACTATAACAACTTCCGAATTTTCTCACACCTCGAGGCAGGTGTGGGGTGAGAACGAAGGGGTGATACTGTTATGTGTTCTGAGGAGATCAAAATCGTCACACGTTTGGAGATTGCGCCGTGTGCCTGAAGGATTATCACACGATTACGGCTAAGATCAACCGGAACTGAGTTTATAGAAAGATCGTCCTAGTGTGCTCCTTACTCCTTAGCTTTGAATATAATATAGCCGTTGGTTAGTGGTTTAGCTGTATGTTAGATGATAAGCAACCTTAATACTAAAAAGGAAGAAGATCTGATGTGATTTTGGGGGTTTCCCCCTGACAGAATGGTTAGATTTTCCTGCTTCCATGCTCACATCCATTCCCATAAACAAAAGGTTAGCAGTGTTTTTCTTTGGCAGTCACCAGTAACAGTTAGATGTTTTGCTAATTATTCTTATTTATTTTTTTTTTTGGCTCCTTGTTCAGAAAACAGTCCACATACCCGCTGTAGTTATGAATAAGAGCATGGAAGATCATTCTCAGAATCATTCCCTGAAAGATTTTAGTTATTGTGAAGCAACCAGTCCACCACACTCAATAAGCGTGAGCAATGCCATGGATATTTATGTAGGCCATGATATAGATTCTCCCTCTAAGGAGCAAGGATGTAAATCAGAAGAAATTGAGGATGACTACAAAAGTGAACACATTGCAGGTGTTGATCATAATAAGAATGCTGATATGAAAAAGTGCAGGTCTTTAAACAGTGGATTGGCCTGGGAAGGGAGGGTGTATGATGACCATGACTCAGAGGAATATAGTCACCAAACATTCTCATTTGACAACTTTCAAGAGGTTCTTCAGCCCTCATCTGTTCAAGTGAGTACTGATTCGGAAAACACTGAATCTTTATCTGTGATCAAAGACCGGAAACAGTCA